CACGTTGATGGGGTCTGAACTGGCAGAGACTGATCAAGAGAGAGATCTTGGAGTTGTAGTAGATAATTCACTGAAAATGTCGAGACAGTGTGTGACTGCAATAAAGAAGGCCAATGCTATGCTGGGGATTATTAGGAAGGGTATTGAAAACAGATCAGCCAATATCATAATGCCCCTATATAAAACAATGGTGCGACCTCATTTGGAATACTGTGTGCAGTTCTGGTCACCACACCTTAAAAAGGATATTATAGCTTTGGAGAAAGTGCAGAAAGGGGCAACTCGAATGATAAAAGGGTTGGAACACTTTCCCTATGAGGAAAGGTTAAGGCGCTTAGGGCTCTTTAGCTTGGAGAAACGACGACTGAGGGGTGACATGATTGAGGTTTATAAGATTATGCATGGGAAAGATCAGGTAGAGAAAGAGGTACTTTTCTCCCTTTCTCACAATACAAGAACTCGTGGGCACTCAATGAAATTGCTGAGCCGTCGGGTTAGAACGGATAAAAGGAAGTACTTCTTCACCCAAAGAGTGATTAACACTCGGAATTCACTGCCACAAGAAGTGGTGGCGGCTACAAGCATGGACGGCTTCAAAAGGGAATTAGATAAGCATATGGAGCAGAAGTCCATCAGTGGCTATTAGCCACAAGGTATAGATAGGGACTCTGGGGCAAGTGACGCTCTGTCATCTTGGTGCTTGGGGGGGTCAACAGTGGGAGGGCTTCTAATGTCCTAGCCCCACTGGTGGACCTCCTGATGGCACTGGTATTTCTGGCCACTGTGTGATACAGAGTGTTGGACTGGATGGGCCTTTGGCCTGATCCAACATTGGCATCTCTTATGTTCTTATGTTCACATCAGACCAGGAATCTCTTCCGTCTTCAGAGTTAATTCCCTGCTCTCAGTCAGGGCTGAATTCCAAGACTGTCAGTACTTGACTCTTCTCAGCTAGGGCTGAAATCAGACTGCTTCTCTCCTCAGCATCCTGTTCAGAAGTATTTCTCCCTCTGAGGTGGAGGACATCTCCATGGGTTATTCCCACTGTGCCTTTAGGGAGACAAGAAATAGTTTTTTGCCCTTTCTGTTGGCGCCTCCGGAATAGCCCATCCTCCAATTCTATTCCTGCCTCAGTAGGGAGCAGCAGCAAAAAACCTAGCTAGGGTTTAGCTGTAGTTCTTTTTTTCTTCTTTTCTTCTTCCTTGCCTTGCCTTTTTTCTTCTGATCTCTCCTTTCCTTCCCTCCCTCTTTTCAATTGCTCCAAGTTTGGAGCGAAGTTGAAAGGGATCGCTGGGACCCAAAGAGGTAGTCTTCGGCGGCCGCAGCAATGTTGGCAAAAGACCTTCCCGGGGGCTTCTCCTCAGACAACGAAGGAGCAGCACGTGCCACAGAGCTGGCGATCACGCAAAGCGATTCTGTGGCTGACCTGCCTTCAAGGCTAGATTGCGTTGTCCCGATGAGTGTGGCTGTACTGGCGGCAGCACAGCATACCCTCGAGCACCGCTGGCAGCCCTCAAAAGAAGAGCTTGCCATTTCTACAGCGCACCTTTGGGCCGCGGGCAGCCATTTTGAGGGTCCAGCTTCAAGCTTCGGCACCCTCCAAGGGGTGATTTCAGGACATGTGGGGGCAGAAGGAGCATGCCCTAACGCCTCCCTGGACCTCTCTGAGCAGGAGGAAGAGTCTGGAGCAGCCATGCAGAGGGGTAAGCTGCCAGACAAAGGGGTCCTTGTCCATTCCTTTGATCTGATGGCCATCATCAGGCAGACCATCCAGCAGGAGATGTCCCAATTCCAGTCCAGATCTAAAGCCCCTGGCCACCGAAAATCCTCCCCTCAAAGCACCATATTTCCCTCTCCCTACCAAGGCAGCTCAAAAGGCACCCCCCACACACCAGGGGAGACCCAGTGGGGAATGATGGAGGGAGGAGGTGGAATCTACTGCCTCCTCTTTAGATGACAGGGAGGAGGGAAAGGAGGAGGAGGAAATAAAGCCCCTGGAGCAGTCCAGCCATTTTTTCAAGGCAGAGAACTATCAATATTTTCTGACCAAAGCCATTAAGGCACTTGAACTTCATTATTTGCCACCCTCAGAGTACCAAGAGGTGGCCAAATTCAAGTCCAAATCCAGGGGTAATTCTGAGTCCCCCCCCCCCACGAGGAATATATGGAAAAGGTGTTTCTGTTCGCAAAGTATTTTGAATGTCAGAGCAGAGTGGGACAAACCCATGGTCAATAAGCAGTTTCCTGCATTTGCCAAAAAATTGTATGCACTGCCTAATTATGCTAATGAGTTGTTACAGGTGTCTCCTGTGGATGGCCGGGAAGCAGCGATTCAGTTTTCAGGATTACTATCTGAAGATGGCCAGGGTACCATCAAGGACCCCACTGACAAGAAGACAGAGGCAACACTCAGAACGATCCATGAGGCTATACCCATGATATCTAGATGACCTGTTGGTTCAGACTAGCAATCAGGCGGAGTCCGTCAAGAACGCCAAATAAATGATACAATGCCTTCAAGATCATGGGTTCCTGATCAGCTTCTAAAAGAGTTCTCTTCTACGAACACAACGGATCGAACATTTGGGAGCAGTGATCGACACTACTTGCAATGCCCTTTTCCTCCTGGTGTCCAAAGCCCGGAAACTCAAGGACTTGGCTTCATTGGTATACCGCAGCAGAGCCTCATCCCTCATGTTGTTGGGACAGATGATAGCCAGTATAGACATGATACAGTGGGCTTGCGTACACACCAGACCTTTACAAGTCTTTCTCCGCCCTTACCAGCTCCTCATTATGGAAAAGAGGAGCATCAACCTTCAGGTTCCTTACAAGGTCAAGAAAAGTCTACGTTGGTGGATGGACGTGGACAGCCTGTTAACGGGCAAGGACTACTATGTAGGCCACACCAGGGAACTCTTCACAGATGCAAGTCTACAAGGTTGGGGGGTGACACTGGAGGGCTCTCCAGTCCAGGGGAGTTGGCTTTCAAACAAGATGGCGCTACTTATCAACTTCTTAGAACTCAGAGTGATTAATCAGGCTATGATCCACTTCACCCCCCATCTGCGCAACCAACATGTCTTGGTGAGGACAGACAATATCTCGGCCAAGGCGTACATCAACAAACAGGGTGGATCACGATCTCCACAGTTACACAGAGAGGCAATGAAGATTCTCTCCTGGGCAGAGAGGAACATTGCTTCCATACGGCAGAACACATAAAAGGGATCGACAACATTCAGGCAGATTGGCTCAGCAGGGAGACCATTCTGGAGGGAGAATGGACTCTCCATCCAAGGCTCTTCAGCATGATTGTAAGACACTTTGGTTGACCGTCAGTGGATCTGTTTGTGTCACCAACAAACCACAAGCTGCCAAGGGTTTTCACCAGGTACTACGACCAGGAGGCGGAGGCAATGGATGCGCTCACTGCAACTTGGCCCCGTGGCCTACTGTTTGCGTTTCCACCATTTGTTCTGATCTCCAAAACCATCCGCAGGGTATGGGGGCTCAGAGCAGAAGCCATCCTGGTGGCTCCAAGATGGGCCCAACGTCCGTGGTTCTCAGCACTACAGGAGATGGCTGTTCTCCCACCATTGATCCTTCCAGTGCCATGGATATGCTGTCTCAGGGACCAGTGTGGCATCCAGATCCGGACTGGTTATGTCTGACCACTTGGAGATTGAGCGGTGCAATCAGGGGTCATTTCGTAGAAAAAGAGCTAGGGGAACTCATTAGCATAACTCATTAGCATATGCCACACCCCCTGACATCAGGGGCCCGGCGGTGGACCTGCAAGGCCAGTGGGAGTGCGAGGAAGCCCCACCAAGGCCCTCCCCCTGGCCCCAGGCAGGCAGGGGTGGGGAGAGGCAGGGAGGAAGCAACTTACCCTCCCTCTTCTCCTGCCT